AAAACAAACCTGTATCATCAAATAAATTTCAACTCATTGGACCTTATGTATGTCAGAATAGAACTATCTTCACAAGGTTCTCAGTAGTGGAATTTTCTGAATTAGAATACCAGACTTTTCTCCAAAAGGCTTCTTCATCTATTTAAACCCCTAGACTTTGCCTTATCCGGTGACTGCCTTAATCAATTGCACTGTCCAGGGCTTCCTTATGCAGATAGACTCACCAGGGTAGTTGACTTTCGGCTGGACTATGGCACTGCTCCCCACAGCTGCAGCAAACAGGTCAGGGTATTTCAGCCTCGACCACACAGCAAGGGATCCTCCGTAAAAGCTTCCAAATAAAACCCACTTGTTATGGGTGAGCTCCATTGACTTCGCTATTTCCATTCGGAAGTTGACAATATCAGCCAAGGCTTGCCTGCTGCTCAGGTAGCGGAGGCTTTCGGTACTCAGATCTCTGCAATGAAAGCATAAACATATTGTGACGGCAACTAAAACAGAACATGTAACATCGCAGAGAAAGACGGGCCCTCTCCTCCCATGCAATTTAGAGCCTTGGAAAACCAATGGAGGATCAAGCCGTGAGTCGGTTCCAACTTGATGACCATGAAAGAGTAAGAATGACTAGGATTTGCGGCTTTTTAATGATTGCATTTCTTTTTTTAGCATTCCACGGAAAACTCAGCTGGCTGCCAGCACCTAGATGCTGTCTTTTTTTCACATACACTGAAATGAATCCCTTCTACCAAACTATTACCCTTACTCAGAGTATCCGTTGCCTTTAATGAGTTGTTTTAAGACAATGGTGACCTCTTTTCCTTGGGGAGGATAATCTTCATGGTTTAAAAGTAGTAAGTATATCATTTTTGAGCATAAATATATGTATAAGGAAGTCATTTTACCTTAAAGAATATTTAGGAAAACAAAAAGTTTCAACAAGAAATTGTATCACATGTTGATGCTATTGTATGTCGCTTGGTTGGAACTGACTCATAGCCAGACATATAGTGCCTTTTTAGAGGCAGTAAATCTCATAGAAGGAGATTTCCTATTGTTCTCCCATGGAGCAACTGGTGGATTTGAACCGCTGCCTTTTGGATTGCAGCACAGCTTCTTACTACTAGACCTCATATTACATGAGACATGTATTTTTACGTCAAAGGAAATTTCGTATAAATACTTTCACTATATCTGTGGTTTCTACCCACAACATTAATTCATCATTTTTCCTTCCTTTCATTTTAATTGTCAAATACTATGCTTCTGAAAAGAGGAACAAATTTAAAACTAGCATTCCTTAAGTGAACAAGCCATCCACCAGAGACTCTGTGGGAGAAAGATAGGTCCTCTCTTCATGTGTGGTTTACAAGCTTGAAGAACCTTGGGGTCTGCAGTGAAGTCAAGAGTTGCCGTTGAAATTAACAAAGTAGAGAGAAGAGCAACAGCTTTAAGGAAGAAAAATAAAAGAGAGAAGCCCTTCATCTTACCCTGTTGGTTGACTGTGTCCATAAAATCTGTGTTCCAGCAGGAAGCAGAGAGCCCCTAGTTTCTTGGCATATTTAACCCAACTATAGCGTGTTGAAATAAATGTTCTTATTGCAGGTTCTCTTCCTGAAATCATGAGAAACACCGGGCCTCCGGGCTTGTAGAATTGGGTATTAATGAAATATCTCTGTGAAAAGCACATGCGGCAGTAAGGTTTTTCTGAGATTCAGGTGGCCTTGTTTTTCTGAGACTCATGTGGCGGTGCCATGCGGTTTGTCAGATGGCGGTTACAGTTATGAGATCCCATCAAAATCAGCGGCACTGCTCAAGCCCCTGCCCCTCCACAGTGGACAGCTTTCATTTACACACTGCCGAATGCTCTGTTTCAATCATTTTTGAGTGCACAAACAGTCCCATAAACCACAAGTCTCTGACAAATGTGCAACGATCAGTACCATGCGGTTCTATTTCATGACTGTTAGTATTGCTGAGGTTTTGTGCCACTACGTCAGAAATGACCCATAGCTTACCATGCAGGATTTTTTTCAGAAGCAATAACTCACACAGATTCGAACCGTGTGCGTTTGGGATTGCAGTGCAGCTTTTTACCTCTGAGATTCGTGTTTGATTTTATATTTGCAAAAATTCATTCACCTGAGAGTCTGGTTCCCTAACAATATTAACATAATTACCTATTTACCTAATAATACCAGTAATATCTACTGTCTACTACTAATACAGTAATATCTACTGTCTAGACTAATACCAGTCTACTCTGTCATGGACGTTAGAACCAACTCATAGCTGACCATTCAGTGGGTTTGCTGAGGTTATAAACCACATGGGGGGAGAATGCCCATCTTTCTCATGAGGAGCAGTTGGTGGATTTGAACCTCCTACATTTTAGTTGTCAGAGTGACTCTTTACCCATTAGGCCACCAGAATTTCTTAATAATATTCAATAACAGTGCATATATATTAGAGACCTCCATCGGGTTAATGGTTAGGAGTTGTTCTGCCAATCTGAAGGTGCACAATTCAAATCCACCAGCTGCTCCACAGAAGAAGGATGGGCAATCTCCTGTGTGATTTACTGCCTCTGAAAACCTGGTTCTAACGCAACAGTACAAATAACAGCTTCAATAGATATAGACATATTAGATTGTTTTTATGTGCTGTCAATTCAGAACTGACTCATCGTTGGCCCTCCAGCCGTTTTTCAGAGGCAGTAAATCACACAGGAGAAGATTTCCTATTTTTCTCCCACAGAGCAGCTAATGGATTCGAAACCCATGCCTTTGGGATTGCAGTGGAGTTTCTGACAGCTCGGCCATCAGAGCTCAACACGAGAATAGTCATATAAATATGAAAAATAATCAACAATGCAAGGATTAAATGTTCATCTGGTGACAGAAAGGTCAGTAATTCAAAAGCACCAGTTTCTCATAGTTGTTGTCGTTATTGTGTAACATGGAATCAGAACCGACCCATAGCTGATCCTCTGCCAGGTTTTCAGAGGTAGTTACTTGTATGGGAGGAGATTGCCCATCCTTCTTCTGCAGAGTAGCTGGTGGGTGGATTTGAACTGCGTGCCTTTGGGATTGCAGCGCAGCTTCTTGCCACTAGAGCTAAAATCTGCTGATCTGTTCTCATAAACAGTACAGCATAGGAAACAGCACAGGACAGTTCCCCTTTGACCTGGAGAATCACTAGGAGTTGGAATCATAGACACAACATTAAGACTGAGAGAACTGATCCTGATCTTCCCTTAAGTGCATTTTGTTATATTGGTTTAGCTTTGGAATCTTGTAATTGTTTAAAAAAAAAAAACGCAACAATTAAAAATTGATGGTAAAATAAAACCAATTATCTAGTAAGCCTATTTTTCTGATTGTTTTGTTTATTAAGCCTATGTTTTAACCACAGAGAATTTTTTTAAAACAAATAGAAAGTGCATTGACTTTATGTCTCTATTGGAATAAATCATCAGGACACACACACACACACACACACACACACACACACACACGTTGTAAAGAAATAAGTTTTCAAGATATAGCTTGATCAGTCCATCATTAGGTATTGCATTGCTAACCCAAACTTTCCATCTCTCTGATTGTTCAATTCCACTAGCGACTCTGTGAATAAAAGTTGGACAATCTTCTCCCATGTGATTTACAGCCTCCTAAAGTCCTCCTACAGCTATGCTCCTTGGAGGCAAAGATGATAAAGCCTCATCTCACATACCTCGGGCATCTTGCTAGTAGAGGCTATTCCTTTAAGAGGACATCATGCTTGGAAAGGTAGAAGGTCAGCAAAAGAGAGAAAGGCCCTCATCCAGGTAGACGACACAGTGACTGCAGCAACAGACTCAAGCATGTCAAAGATTGTACGGATGGCGCAACACAGAACAGGGTTCAGATCAGTTGTTCATAGGATCACTGCCAAACTCCATGGTCATGCTCAACTCGTTGGCACCCAACAACAAAAAAGGTCAACTCTGAGTTAGTTCTGACTCCCTGGCAATCAGTTTTAGTGTGAATTCTTTGTGCCAGTTACCATTATACTGAAAGATATGTATGCAACTTGGAAAACAAGTGAGAAAAAAAACACCTAAGCGAACATAGTTCTTCAGTATAAAAGCTGCAGGAAGCACTGGCATGCTGCTTTTAACCAATTGTCACTAAGTTGAATCCAGTTCATGGACGTCAGAGGGGAGCTGTGCTCTTACGGTTTACAAGTTTGTTACTTTTACAGGAGTCTTTAGTTTGAATCCCGTGGCTTCCGGTTAGTGGCTAAACATGGCACGACCCTGAGACACCAAACACTCTTCACCTGCTCAGCACTACCTGGGCACCCTCCCCAAAGCCTAAAGCTCAGGCCATCCCCACCTTTCATCCTCTAGGTTGACTATGGTTTTTACCTGTTTCCATAGTGTTGATTCATTCCCATCAAAATGGTCAAGCTTTTGCAGGAACAAATCACCAGTTATTCCCCTCACCCTGGATGCTTGGCCAGAGCTCTGGATCCAAGAACAGAAGAGCAGCAGAGGCAGCGACAGCAGCAGCGGCTGTCCCAGAACTCGGGCCATGGCTGTCCTGTGGGAGGCAGCTTCCAGAGCTGGGCTATTTATACTGCAGTCACCCTCTTCCTTCCTCTTCCTGTCAAGACTGCTCAGCCTTTGGGCTAGGCCCAGGGGCTATATGATGGTGTGTCAGGCCAGAAGCATGTTGATGTTGTTGTTAGGTGTCATCAAGTTGACTACGACTCATATCACTTTGAAACTTTGCCCTGGAAAGATGTGGTTGTTATGTGCCTCCAGAATTGACTCATACTGACCTCCAGTGAGGGTTCAGAGGCTGTAAATCACACGAGAAGAGGGTTGCCCAACAGTCTCCTGTGGAACAGCTAGTGAATTCAAACCTCAAGCTTTTATGTTGACAGCACACCTCCTTACCCACTAGGCCACCAGAACTCCCTAGAAGTATAGAAGGACCATCTATCCAACCTTTTAAGGTTGTGGGAACTTTTGAATAGATATTTCAAGGATCAGCTGACAACAAAGTTAAGCGGTATAAGGAAATCTGCAAAGACCTGAAGAAAACAAAAGGCAAAAACACACTTGATGGTTTTCAAGTTGAACATACTGACTAAAAAGTTAAGCTTGAAGTTGCAACGCTGGAGAAGCTTATGCACAAATGAACGGCACAGAGGACTTCAAAGGGTTTAAGGAAGAGTTCATGTGGTGTGTTTCATAGTGTGTTCACTTTTAATCCAAAGAAAATGGAAAGAATGAACAAAGTAACTGTACCAAAAAGAATTCTTTTCTTTTCCTTTTTTGTTTTTTATGTTGAGGTGCAAACTATACTAAAGGCTGCATCTGTGATCCCCCACCCTTCCAGTGCTCTTCACTTCCAGCAAACACAACTGTCATTTTCATGTCATAGGTTGCTGATAAGCCTTCCTTTAAATCTGATCCTGAATTTTTTCTCAATATAGTCTAAGTCCTAGTAATACTTGCTCAGGATACAGACTGTGTGGGAGCTCTGGTGGTCTAGTGATAAGATGCTGCACTGCAATCCCAAAGGCACGCGGTTCCAATCCATCAAGCTGCTCCATGGGAGAAAAATGGTACGTTTCCTAGTGTGCGGTTTGCTGCCTCCGAAAATCTGCTGGAGTGTCGGCTATGGGTCAGTTCCAGCTTGATGGTCCATATCAACAACACCACACAGACTGCGTAGTAATGGCGGAAAGATACAACCCAACATACTCTTCCTGATTTGAAACCATGCCATATTCCCTTGCTCTGTTCTACATGTGGGTAATTAAATGTTATGTGATTTCCATTCCTCTCGATATCATCCAAAATTTAATAGGATCCATGCAACAGAAAGGTTTGAATAAAAAAAAATAAAACACAAGAAATCACCCTTCCAGAACTGTTAACAGACAACAAACATCTAACGTCAGCAAAGCCTCTTCTGTTCCAACATTTCTTCTGAAACCACCTTAGATTTCTTTCTATTGTCTATCAACGTGTGGCACCAGCCATTTTTTAAGAGCTTATGTTTGTATGACATTGATGACACCATTTAATAACCACTATCTGTTGGATTATCTTCTTTAAATTAACACAGATGTATACATCTTCCAGGTGGTTGGCCAGGAGATCTTGTCCAAATTTCTTTGTCATGAACCAAAAATTCATAACTCAGTTTCATTGTTGTTGAGTCAAAACTGACTTGTATCTGCCTCTGCAGTGTATTTTCAGAGGCTTTAAATCTCACAAGAAAAGATTGCCTGTATTTCGGCTGAAGAGTAGATGGTCTGTGAGAAGTTCAAGAGAGGAAAAGTGATTCGTTTTTACTTTGACTGTAATAGTCTTTCTCAACTGTCCCTCTTTCACACACACACAAAGAAAAGTGTGTGTAACACACAACTTTTTGTGTGTAAATTAGAGTGCAGCTTTAAGAATTCTAAATGTATAAATAATATGTGGTTGTCAGGTGCCATAGAGTCAAGTATGACTCATAGGGACCCTATGAACACAAGATCTGAACACTGCTCTGTCCTGTGCCGTCCTCACACTTCCAGACACACAAGAGCCCATTGCTGCAGTCACCATGGCAATCCACCTGGTTAAGGGTCTTCTTCTCCTTCACTGGCCCTCCACCCTTCCAACATCATGTCCTTCTCCAAGGAGTAGCACCTCCTGGCAACATGTCCAAAGTGTGTGAGGTGAAGCCTCATCAATCTGGACTCCAAGGACCACTCTGGCTGCACCCTTTCCACGACATATCTGTTTGTTCTCTTGACCAGCGATGGAATATTCAGTGCTCTTATCCAACACCATAGCTCAACAGCATCAATTATTTTTCTGTCATTCTTATTCATTGTCCAGCTTTCAAATGTATAGCTAGTGACTGGAAAAACTATGGCCTGAACCAGATGCACCTTCGTCTTCAAACTGACATTACTACTCCTCAACAATTTGGAGATTTTCCCAGTGCAATAAGTCTCCTTTTTTTTCTGACTGCTGATTCCAAGGGAGTTAATTGTGGATCCAAGCAAGATGAAGCTGTTGACAGTTTCAATCTCCTCTCCATCCATCATGATGCAGCCTATCAGTCCAGTAAGAATCTATGTTTTCCTAACATTGAGATGCAATCCATACCAAAGTTTGCATTCCTTGATCTTCTGCAGCAAGTGCTTCAAGCCCTCCTGACTTTCAGCAAGCAAGGTTGTGTTATCTGCATAACGCAGGTTATTGATGAATCTCCCCCCAATCCTGATGCCACATTCCTCCTCATAGAGCCCAGCTTCATGGATAATTTGCTCAGCATGCAGATTGACTAGGTACTGAGAGGGAATACAACCCTGGTGAACTCCCTTCCCAGTTCCAAACCATGCAGTGCTCCCCTGCTCTGCACACTAGCCTCTTGGTCGATGTATATATAGCTTCTGCAGGAACACAGTCAAGTGCCCTAGAATTTCCATACATAATGTACACTTACATAAATGTTGTAGTTGTTGTTGTTATTTGCTGTTGAGTTGCTTGTGACTCATAGTGACCCTATGCACAATAGCTCTCAACCCTGTCCTATCCTGAGCCAATCTCACTCTCTCTGACACACCTACCCAATTTACCCCAGTTCCTGTGTCAGTCCATCTCATCTGAGGTCTTCCTCTCCCTTCCAAGCATGATGTCCTTTCCCAAGTACTGGTCCCTCCTGGTCATGTACCCAATGTATGTGAGATAGAGCTTCAAAATCCTTGCCTCCAAGGAACAACTTAGTTTCAGCCTCTCCAGGACAAATCTGTTAGTTCTCTTGGCAGTCCATACTCTTCTCCAGCACCACAACTCAAGGACATTTATTATTTTTCTGTCGTCCTTAGTCACTGTCCATCTCTCTGACGCATAGTAAGCAATTGCACAGACCATGGCAGAGAGCAGGCACACCTTAGTCTCCAGACGGACATCATTGCTCTTTAGCACTCCTGGAGAGGTTCCTGACCGCAGATTTTCCTTATGTAATATGTCTTTTGATTTCCTGACTACGGGTGTGAACAGTGTAATAGATATGCATTTCTATCGTTGTTGTTACTATGTGCTGTTGAGTTAGCTATAACTCATAGTAACTCTATGGACAACTGATCTGAATGTTGCCCAAACCTGAGCCATCTTCATGACCTCTAACATGACATATTCCAATCAACTGTTGGAGACATTGTATCCATCCATCGTTGAGAGTCATCCTCTCCTTCACTGGCCCTCTAACTTTGCCACTAGGATTTGTTTCTCCAAGGACTGGCCTTTCCTGATATCATGCCCAAAATACATGAGAGGAAATTTCCACATCCTTGCCTGTTTGGAGAAGGCCGATGGTAAGTGACTCACATCTGACCCTCCAGCGCATTTTCTGAGGCTTTAAATCACATTGGAGATTGTCTATCTTTGTCCTGTGGAGCATCTGGTGGATTTGAACCATCTGCCTTCAGGTTAGCCGTACAACTCCTTATCCAGTAGGCCATCAAGAGCATCTCCAAAGTAGCTGCAATAAAACTGAGAGGGGCAGATCCCATCTAGCCTATCCTCCTGCTTCTACTGAGCTTGCTTTGGTTAAATGTCCATTACAGGGAAGAAATTTTTATAGGTTTTGGTAACGCACTGTCTTTACACACATGTTGTTGCTGTAATTGTTTTTGTTGTTGTGTACTGTCAAGTCAGAACTGACCCATAGCTGTCCCATCAGCAGGTTTTCACAGGCAGTGAATCACATAGGAAGAGATTGACCATCCTTCTCTCATGGAGCAACTGATGGATTTGAACCATGTGTCTTTGCAATTGCAGTGCAGCTTCCTAGAGCTAGGCCACCAGAGTTCCCAGAAATAGGGATACAAATATCGCTGCCTTCGGGAATGGAGGAGTATTTTGCTCTGTACCTGTTACTCTTAGTTACTGTGGAGACAACACTGACTCATAGGCACTGTAAAGGGCACAAGAACGAAATGTGTCCCAATCTTAAAACCTTCTCAACATCATCAACTCATTTGGTTTCACCATTGTGAACATTATACCAGTCCATCTGCACTGAAGGTCTTCTGAGTACTCACTGACCCTCTGCTCCACCAGACTTGATGCTGCCCTCTAGACAAAGCCCCAACCCCATGACATACTTAAGGAACCGTATCAGAAAACGTCCCAGCTTGATCCACAAGGTTTTCTTGGGGACGTCTGACAGTAAATCACCATGCTTTTTTCTTCCTGGTCTGCCTTAATCTGAAAGCTTCTTTTATCCACTATGGGTGAGTCTGTGGTATATGAAATGCAGGTGGTACAGCTTCCACTGTAACAGGGACCGAAAGTTACCAAACTACATCAGCTGACAAGAGGTAATGGAATTGCTCTATACAAAAACTTACTGTCAGTTTTTGGCAGTGTTAAGTATGTTGCTGTTGTTCTTTTATGTGCCATTGAGTCACCTGCAACCCATAGTGACCCTATGTACAGCAGTTTTGAAGCCTGCCCTGTCCTGAGCTAGTCTCACTGATTCCGACACACCTAACTCCCCCATAGTCTCAGTTACTGTA